CTTTGTCTGAGTTTGAAAAATAAGAATTAGTTGCAGAGTGCCATGTCTGGAGAAAAATGTAATTTCCGCATAATAGTGATATTGAAGTTGTGTTTCAACAAATGATTATCTGATCACCGAACACACGGAATAATAACAATACAATGAGCTACTGATGTGATCCACATTCAGATTCCATGTGGAATGTATATGCGAAATCAAAGTGGAGTGTAAATAATGTAGTTGTAAATATGACATTTCCATTTGACATACGTTGCAATAAGAATATACACTAAACCATAAATAAAAACTTTTAGTACATTCACACTGCCTCATTTAAGCACTTGCTCATTTATATTAATGAGGAAACCATATTTAATTAATAACAACAATGATACTTACTTCCTCACTACCTTTGTTTAAAGCACAGCTGTTGTTTGTTTACATTTTTTAATGAGTTGATTTATTTATAATGAACTCATATATATGACAGATTTTAGTATGATAAATCACCTTCATTAGTGTGAGTGTGCTATTAGACTCGCTAAAAGTAAATTACTCTCTTGTGAAAATATGAACAGATAGCAAATAGAACACATATCCAATTAATTTTATTTGTAAACCGCATTGAGATCTGTAAAATACGACTAAAAATTTGAAAAAAAAAAACACTTGAATTTTGCGTCTCGACATCACATTGGGGTATACCACTTTGTTTGTTGCAGTACAATGTAACGTGAAATATAGACTGAATATACCAAATTGATCTTGATCTTCTTCGCTGAAACAATAATGACCTAGAACAAAAGAAATAACCTCCTGGATAATGACTTAAAATACAGTCTATATTTCAGAACAAGTTGCAGGAATGCAACTTCTGGGTTATGAGTAAGTCTCTAAGCTCTGATGCGTCTATGAAAAGTAGTATAGAATAAACGTTACAGAGTTTTATTGCCTCTTCAATAAGGGTATATATTCCTAGGAGTCTATTTCGTATATGCATAAGCGCAGAATATTCTAATAGCGCATGTGTGGCTGATTCTTCATTCTCTTCACAGAAACTACAGTTTGCATTCATATTTAATAGTATAAATATATTAATTTATAGTTGAAATGACTTGAAGTGGGCCACAATTATATAGAAATTAAAGCTAATACTACTGAAGTCAATAATATCTACAAATACCTCAGTTTCTATATCTTTTAAATATGTAAATAATGAATATGCTATAATACAGTATTTTGCTTTTAATATTATTGAAGAAACAGAAAAAATCATTTATAATAGAGAAATTTTATATCAAGAAGATGAGGATATCCGAGGACAATAAAATCCTTGATGTACTCACTTTTTTCATTAGACTTTAATTTCTTTATATAAAAGTTAATCATATAAAGACTAACGCTTAAATCGTATTTAAGCTTTAAAATTTCTGAAGAAAACAATTTAAAAGTTTTAATTTGCAAATTCCATCCTAACGCGTGACTTATTCCGAAATTTTGCACAAATTTTTCTGCTTTTCAACAAAAAAGCCGCACAAAAGTTCTACATCAAAAGTTTCCTCCAATGACGGCAGTCATTTTGCAAAATTAACGAATATGGAATATTTCACAAATTCATTAAATATTTTGATGTGTGAAAAATTAGCCAAAATTAGTTTAGTTTTCGCACATGAATCAACTGAACCAACCGCATTTATATTAGATACTTTTCATTAAAGAAGCTCATTCAAGTGTTGAACAACTAAAACCAACCAAAGTGGAAAAGGTCCCTTCGCAGAAGTTTTGAGAGTTCGTTAGCTATAAGTTTTTTATACACAAAATGAAAAAATTTAATTAAAAATATATCAAACGTATAAAAATATAAAAAATATAAAATGAAATCCACACCACTATATGAAGATATATGACAAATATTACTGAACATTTATTCAAGTTATATTAATTAAAAAAACTTCCAGTATTTTATTTTAAAATATATTTAATACGAAATACATCCATGAATTTTTTTATTAAACCCCAACCATGCTTGAGAGGGTGAAAATTAAAAGTTCATACAACATGTCATTAATTGGATTTATTTATTTTATTTTGTATAGACTAGAACTTAACTATTGGGAATTTGAATTTTAGATTTCCAATATATAGTCTTCTTCATAATCAATGTTGAACGACTATATATACAACACTCAATAATAATTCATCTCTGGAAACAAAACTTTTTACTACATCTTACTTACTTACTTACTTAGTTGACCATTACAGACGTGGCTCGTTCTTGGCCTCCGGCAGCACCTCCGGCAGTCAGCCCGATCAGTAGCTTACTGTTACCAGTTGGTAGTACCGAATGCCCACACATCGTGTTCGATTCGTTGGAATCGAACACCTTTCTAATCGGAGCACTTTCTTCCATACGCACGAAATGACCAAGAATTTTTATACGCTTAACTTATTAATGTCGTATCATACAGCTCATCGTGTCATTTAAATCGATACTCGTCGCCAACGCGTAAGGGACTATAGATCATCTGAAGAATTTTTCCCTCAAATGCTCTTAACGCCTTCTCATCACTGTTGGTAATTGTCCAAGCCACATCTACATCATATTACCACATCTTAGCACATTCTAAATTAAAACTAATAGTGACCATATGAAAAAAATACATGATCAATATTTTACAATTACATACATTTAATATTTATCTAAAAAATCCAAACCTGAACTCTAAAGTAAAATAAAATAAATTGTCTATTATTAGCGTAACCAAAGTTAATCCTGAGAATTTCGAAGAGAATCAGATGTAATAGTAAAAAGCATTTATCGTGCTTTAAACTGTCACATATCACACATTATCAATATACATAGTACATTATATTATGAATCAGTTGCATATAAATTATGCTTTGAAAACCCATTTATAAAAAAACTTTATCAAAAAAAACTTTATCCAGTGATTTCACTGGATTCCTAAATTGAGAGCTGATTTAAGTCTACTTAGAGACTCGGAGGATTGGAAGAGGGTTATAATAAAGACCAAGGTTGTATATAACTAAATTGGGTAGTAATAAAAGATGTTAAAAATATCAATGAATAATTCCTATACCATACAACAGCAACAATTGTGAACTGACAATTGTGCTATCTATGATCATTTCCATAAATTCTAGAAGTTGTTTTTTTTTAAAGGTACAGCAAGTTCTGTTTATCAGAACCTTATTCAACAAATCACCTAGAATGGATTAGAAATTACCTGATCTGATAGTTTGAATAACTACTAAAACGGTTTAGATATCTCTCATTATGCAGTCAAAAATCTTCTTATACAGTGTTACTCTTTAAATATATAGGCTATCGATATCCCTGATATAGACTATCGCTTAAAACATGTCAAAGTGCACATATGATTAAAATCGTTAAGAATTTTCTAGATTTGATTATGACATGGATTCTCAAAACTGCACACCATATATCCGTCTTGGTTATATTACAGTTTTATAATACAAAATATCTAGTGCATAGAACTATATTCTTAACCACATGTCCTCGGTGTATATCGTCAAACCGATCGTCATTGAAATTCTGTACCCGGTTCATCCTGTATAGTATGCGGACTAAAAGAAGAGGGGATCTTCTTTTTCGGTATTGATCACTCTAGAACCTCTTTCGCGCTAATTCAGAGATGATCCACATTTTGTTGGCTAACTACAGGGTCGAAAATTTTAGTTTAAATTCTCAACCCTAAGAAATTTTTTAAGACTAAAATCACTACTTTTAAACTCTAAGGTTGAGTTTTTGAAACTTAGTAAATGAACTGCATGAATTGATAACATAATCCACATGTTCGATATTGAGACCAACAGATAAGTTTTAAGACCATCCTTCAAGTTGAATAAATATAAAAACACTCTGAGTTTAAATATAAACTTATATTTTCGAACATGTATGCCACATGTAATATATGTTTGTAGAACCTGCATCTAAGTCCAAATAATGTTAATACTAGGAGAAGTTCTTAAGCTAATCCCATTCAAACTTTACAATGAAATAGAAAATTTTCTACTTCGTGATCATTTAATAATTTAAATTTTTAAATAAGTATATATAAAATAGATAGAATGAGATTCCACTTTAAATTTTATATCTTACTTGTTTGAATTTTTTGCCATAAAACCATTATTGGAATGGAAACTCCGTTTCTTAATAAGTTAAGTTTCCTCACAATGCTCGGATATTGAAGTGTAATTCATAATATTGTAATAAAATAAATGTGCTGTATTGATTTCACTAAAGTATAAACTTAACTCGTTACTGTCGCAAACATTCAATTTTATTATTCTTTGTCGATTTTTATGAAATAACTTTGAAATATGTTAAGTATCTACAGCCATAAAATGGCTACTTTCAGCACTAATGCGTAATCAAATCGATTTTATCAACCGAATAAATAGAAACAAAATTTGATGTCGCTTCCAGCAAAATGGAATAGAGTTAAATTCGTTTAAATTCAGTTTTCTTCTTAAAACATTTTTATTTCGATTTTAAGCACTTCGACGAGTATTTTCCTAACTTATTTCATAGCAAAATGGATAAGGTCACAAGTTTGACAGGAGTAAAAAAGGATTTATATTCTTCATATTCAGAAGGAGACTTTAAGTTCAAATAACGTTGTTAATGACCTTTTTATTAAGAGATAAAGCGAAATGGGTGTAAATTGATGTGATTTTAATTTGTCAAAATCAAAGCGAAAATACTTCAGAAAGGATTCTTCAGGGTACAATTGCTTAATCAATCATTCACAAGTGAACTCAAGTCGTGAAATATTTTAAGCCTTTCTATTAATCAAACATCGTCAGCTATGCGACGATGCTATGTGAAAGAGTTCATGCTGTCGGCGGATGTGAAGGATTTTAAAACTTAAATCATTAAACTACAAAATTAAATATTTAAATAGTTTTTATACAACAATTTGATATTGTTATTTTAAATTTTATTATTTATTTATTTTTTTTTTTTTTTTTTGCAGCTCTTCAGCCACTGAATTAATATCCAGACGTGGAGTGTTTTCACGAAATCATTACGGATCAGTAGACCAGGTTAGTTTTTTCATCATTACGTATTGAGTTTAAATGAAATAAATCGAGTGGGTTGAAAATCAAACAAAATATTTTAATTAAAATTAAACATTAAAATAAATATTGAACTACATTCCGCATCATAAATAATTTTGATTCAATTAAATATACATATGTTTATATGATTGTATGACAAACACATAAAATACATTACAGTTTTTTTCTTGAAATTTTTCAAGTTCTGCTAAAAGTAGGTTAACAATTTTAGAACTACTTTTTTAATGAAGGTCACTTAAATTTTTTTTTTTCATTGGATTTAATATAGTATTAAAAGTATAAGTTCTTTGGCTACTTTTATATACCTTTAGTTTTTGTGATATTATTTATATTCATGAATATTTACCAAATAATTTTTGGGTAAAGCAATTCTTTACTCTAAAAATAAAATAATATTTTATATTCATTAAATACTACTTAAACCCTTTACTTCTATACATAATCGACAAATTCTGTTTTGAATGGGGCAAACAGTCAGGAAATTTAAGTCGTTTTCATAAAAAATTGTCATTTGTTGCACTATATACCTCCAGCTCAAAAAGTACCCGGATTTTGTAAATAAAATACACAAATTTAAATTTTATTCCAAATTTATTTTATCTCCTTTAAAATATACTCCTTCTGAAGCGATACACGCCAGATTTGGTGAATATGGTGCCTGAGCAATGACAGTGGTGCCGTGTTTGGTCTATTACTTAAGGAGTAGTTAACAAACAACAAAATCCGAATACAGTTAATTTAAAAATCAGTTGTCGAATATCCTTCCTTATTTCAGTAGAGGTAATTGAAGGTATTTTTTCAATACATTGAAATTTGACCGAATGAAAAAATTTAAAAACAATTATAACGTTGCCATAAATGTCTTCATCAATATACGTCCATTATTCCATACATCAATTATGGAAAATAATTATATTATAATATGCTATACAAGCCTCACCAGACACCTAGTTATACCAACCAAATCTCAATAATATGTGTAAGGTCAACAGGATCTCATTCTACAAAATGATAGTGGACAGTACCCGTAGCTCAGTTAACGTAACATCGAACTCGAACAATTTCATAGATATACTTACTAAATCTCAATGATATGTATGAGATCCTGTTGATAAAGGATTCTGCAAACACTATACAGAATGGCATTTAGTTGTACCTGTAGCTCAATCAACGTAGCATCGAGTTTCTACGAACAATTATATAGATATACTTATCAAATCTCAATAATATATAAGTGGATCTCTCGACAAAGGATTCTATATGTACATACTCTTCGGAATAACATTAAGATGTACCCGTCGCTCAATCATCGAATCTTTTCCAATAATTTCATACCGTGCGAAGTTTCAGAAAATGGGCGAGTCTCAGAGAATGTATTTACACTATAAAGTCATCTTTTCCATTTCGTCATGGAAGTGATCATGTTCATCGAAATAACACAATATTCTAAGAATGTTTCTAGCCCTTTGTCCATGTCAACGGTATCGACATTATTGGGCATAGCAAGTGTGATGTTACTACTATCTTTGTTACTAACTAAAAGGAATATGCGAATATGGTCTAAGCGGTGAATGAGAGTAAAATGAAGTATATGCTGGCTACAGTGCACTGCTCGCATCTTTTCCATTTCGTCATGGAAGTGATCATGTTCATCGAAATGACACAATATTCTAAGAATGTGTCTAGCCCTTTGTCCATGTCAACGGTATCGACATTATTGGGCATAGCAAGTGTGATGTTACTACTATCTTTGTTACTAACTAAAAGGAATATGCGAATATGGTCTAAGCGGTGAATGAGAGTAAAATGAAGTATATGCTGGCTACAGTGCACTGCTCGCATC